AAAACAAACTTAAAAAACAATTGTGTTATGATGGCAAAGAGGAAGATCTCCGAAAGTTGTTTCTTACAGCAACAAACGACAATTGTAAAGAAGAAAATGGTCTGATACCAACAAGTGGGTGATTTAGAGAAGGGAGCAGGCAAGAGGGACAAATTGGAAAACATAAATAAAAAAGAAGGAAAAAAAGTAAAATAATAATAATAATAAAATCTCAATCACTAGAAGTTAAAAAATCTAATGGTGGAGGGTTAGTTTCTTACATTTTTACGAGTAGTTCCATTAAAGGATCAGACTAAATAATGACGTATAAAATATTTAAATTCTCCACATGTAGATGCTACATATATGTTGTAGGCATCCAAATGTTCCACTCATTTTGTATCAATAAAAATGTTTCGCTCATTTATTTTGGACTTCTCATATTCAACAAACACATTGAGAACATTTCTTTCCAGTTAATAAAAATAATATATAAAAAAACACATCGAAAACTTTAAACATGTTCCAACTTTTGAAATTAGGATATATATTATTCATATTCAATCTTTTTATTTCAATTTTTTATTGGTTCTCATCATGTGTTAGGATGATGTATTCGATTGATTAAGGCCCATTCCGGTTAGTAGTGAGTTTTTATATTTTAGTTTTCAAAATCTTATTTTTAAAATAAAATATGTTCAGATAAAATAGTTTTGAAATTATTTAATGCATTTCCCAAACAGTTTTAAGTCTTATGTTAAAACCGTGAAAGTATCTTTTTTCTTCTTGTTTTGAGTTGAAAAACAATATCACTGTTCTTAACTTATGTCAAAATCACACATTATTATTATTATTATTATTATTATTATTATTATTATTATTATTATTATTATTATTATTATTATTAGTGTATATTTGTTTTAAAATATTTAGAAATTATAATATTTGTTGGATCAATTGGTATTATAGTTAATCCTTAAATCTCAAAGTTTTGGATTCTAATCTTAAGTTTATTTAATTTTTAATATTTAAAAATTTGAGACTAAAATAGTCCAAAAATTATATATATGAAAATAGAAAATTTCTTTTATAATAGGTATAGATTATTATTATTATTAATCTATATCTTTTTATATAATTAATAAGGTAAAAAAAATTTATTTAAAAGAGAGATGATAGAGGTTAAATAAAAATAGGGAATGTATAATTATTTTAGATTTAAATATGATTTTAGTCTCCATAAAACAAATGAGTTTTGATATAGTATCTGTAAATTCTTTTCTTTATTTTTCATCCTTTTAAAACTTGTAAACAGTAATTTTGGTCCTTATAAAATATTTTTGGTTATTGTAAAGTGAGTAAATTTTGATTTTAATTCTTATAAAAATATTTTTTTTCTTTTATTTTCAGCCTTCTAAAATCTAGAATAATTATTTTTTGTTCCTAACAATAATTTTAAAATATATAAATAATATTTATTTTAAAAATCTATGAAACTTTTTAGGGTTGTCATATACTAATATACAATCACTAACAGTTGTAAATACATGTACATGAGAGTATCATTTAACCTTTTAATGAACAAACAAGTAATTAATTAAAAATAATTATATAATAATGGAGACTAAAAATAATAAATCTAAATTTTAGATATGAAAAATAAAGAACAATTTTTACAAAAATTAAAATCAAATCTTATTCATTTTGCAAGACTAAAAATATATTTAAATCATTATTTTATTTTAAAATTTGCTGGATTTCATATACAGTTACTGGGTTGAGATTTTTTTATTTTTATTTTTTATATGCAGTTAAAACATAATAGCTACAGATTATTATTATAATAATAAAATATTATTATTATTTTATAAAATTAAATTATTATTTTTGTTGTGACTATTATATTTTAAAATTAATTGTATTTTTTTATTATTACTTATGTAATTTTTGTTTGATAAGAACTTGAGAAAGAACATGATTTATAATAGAAAATTAGACTCTTGTAAAGTGCCCACTTTAGAGGGTAAAGTGCAACCATCCTGACCTTTATTATATTAATGGTTCTAGCTTTCCAACTTAATTAAAATTGTCACATAAATTTAATTATTATGATATTTTTTTAAAAATAAATTATGAGATTGAAACTATAAATTTAAAAATTAAACTAGTTTTAGTGTTTTTAAAAATTTTAGAACTTAAAATTAAAAACTACCCCGTCATTATCAAAGAAAAAGAAACTACCGGATGGAACCTAAAATTGTCAAAGTATTCCAATACACACAAAAAAGAACATTTTAAAAATAATATAAGTCATGGGTAAAAACAATTTTTTTTTAATCTATAACCGTAACATAGAGGATGATTTGACTTTTTAGTGCACACAACTTTTATCCAATTTTATTCTTATAATTAACATTTTACAAATTATAAATTATTTATTTACTTTTTAAATTTCATTTTATAATCATTTATATTTTTAATAATCACCCACTATTATATAATTTTATTATTTATTAATTTTTAAAATAATTCACGAAATTACATAGTGATTAGTATACTTTCCCTCCAACTTCAAGTATATAATTCCCTGTAGGCAAAAACATTTTTAAAGGATAGTATTCAACTAAGAAATTTTTACTCACTAAACCGTGAGAAGAAATTTTATCCCAAGCACAAAAGATGAAAGACCAATGATTATGTCCTTTTTAATTTTATTGCCAGCAGACAAACACAAATAATGCACAACACAGATGGAACTACAGGAATTGACAATTCCGTGCGTTAGTTGGTCACCAAACAACTATCACAAAAACTTTTACATATATATATATATATATATATATATATATTCAGTAATCACTTATGTTTTTTTTTTTTTTTTTAGTTTCTCCAATATATATGAAAAACATCTTAACTCCTAAACATCAAGGCATTGTCTAGATTCATGAAATTAAAAGATGTTGGGTAATCACTAAAGTAGATGAGAGAGAACATTGAAACGTAGGAAAGGAAGGAACTGGCCATAATTAATGTTTATGATATTGTCAATTTGGCACTTTCCTTTTCATTCAATATTTATTTAGTGACAGAAATATGTGAGAAAAAGATGGTTTTGGGTTTGGTTAATAGCCAAACCTCCAAGTGTAAACGAGAGTGACCTAATAGCACAAACATTGAAACAAATAATAGGTTCGATATCTTTGCACACTTTAAGTCATAACAATTTAATGAGGCATATAAAAAGGACATGCAGGACTCTTTCAAGTCTCAGATGTCGCAAAGATTTGAGAAAATGTATCATTCACGACTCACGTGTCATGCCCCAAATAAGAATGCAAATATTTTAAAGTATCCATCAGTATCTTAATTAATCTTGTGTCTAAACTTTTCCTCTCTTTCTTCACACTATGATATCTCAAAACTTGTGGCCCAAAACCTTTGTCCTCGTGATTCTCATCATTATCATCATCATGGCAGTAATAAAAAAAATTTTCAAAACATTAAAATAAGTAGTAAATATTTGTAATTGACAATTAAAAGCAGTTCTAGAAGCTAATATTAATTTCAATAATGCTCATAAAAGTATAGGCATAAAAAAAATATCAATAAAGTGTAATCAGCATGGCGATTTTCAATGTTATTTATTAATTATGACTATATATTATATATGAATATCATCCATCATGTGTTTACCCTGACCATGTTTGTTCAACATTGTAAGAAAAGGTGAAGATATGGCATAAATGATGGATGAGGTGTTATTATTGGATTGATCACCATGTTTGACGGAGCTGAGAGGACAGCACATATGCCATGTTGTGCTAAGCTGATAGGTGATTAGGACTAATCACTGGAGGCAGTATTATTCTTCATTTATTTCTACTGGTTCAGACATAGTCCAAATCATTGCATGTGCTTGGCCCAAAATTTCTAAATATAATTTGGATACTGGTCAAAGGAGGATCCGAAAAATAAAACAAAATAATAATAGAGTAAATTATAGTCATACTCTTTAGATGTTATGTTAACTCTTTTTAATTATTGCAACTTTATAAGGAAAGATATTGTAAACATTAAAAAAACATTGAGATGTGAAATTTCATCCAACCTCAAGATTTGTTGATATGATTTACTCATAATAATAATAATAAGCATTTGTGAATATGTTTAGGTTAAATTAATTCTCGCAATCAATTTGTCACTATTTGAAAAGAAATTTAGATTTGGAAAATATTAAAAATGATATTTGAAACCAAATTTAAATTTGAAACTCGATTAGAATGTATTGTACTTTACAATATCTATTAAAAAATGGTTACCTCGACTTAATATTACTTACTGAAAATATTTATCTCATCCTTTAATAATTGAGAATCAATTACAATAAAATGAGGGTTTTACTTATCGAACAGTTTCTATTGATTTTATTTTGATGATTAAGAATGGTTATTACTAATTATTTTTTACAATGATCGTTTCTTATCAGTTAAGGAAGAACTTTGAGCACGCTAACGACGAAATTGGTGTCCTCAAAAAATATTAAAATTAAAAATTGTCACATCCAATCCAAGTCCAATTAATTTTTTATTGATAATTTACTTTTAGCTTGATTACAAGTATTTGATTTTAAATATTTCACTTCACTAAAATTTTATTAATATTTATGATTTTTATTTCCCTGGACTTAATATTAAAAAAAAGTCATATATATATATATATATATGAGGAGGGTTCAAACGACATTTCTACTAGCTCCCATCCAAGACAAAATAAAAATTTCTTGGTTGGATTAATTATATCTAACACACATATAAAGGGTTTTTCAAATGAAGGTGGTCGTGCCTTCTTAATCCACCTTTATGTGAAAGGCATGGTGGGTTAAAAAGGCAATAAAAGTGAAGTGGTGAGTCTATATAATTGGAGATAGCAAAGACGTATATATCCACTTTAATGTGGAATTGAAGATGTAATGCTAGAACTAGTGGAAGCAAAGATGTGTCCATTATTCAAAGTAAAATATATTGATCATACACAAATTTACCAAAAATATAACCAGAAAGTTCCTAGGTGAAACCTCTTATCAGATATCTCCAATGTTGTAGCAGGTAAAATACCAGCTACAGCACCACTGCCCAAGAAAGTAGTTTGAAATCTTACACCCTCTTCATCACTAAATGCAATCACCTGCATCATTAGAAAGATAAGATGACATCAATAAAACAGACGCATAGTTCCATCATTTCCTTGTACACTTCATTTGACAATCTTTTTCTCAGTGCACAAAACTATTATAAATCAGTGTAGAAAGTTTCATTAAAAACTACAATAAAGTTACGGGGAAGAATGTACAGATACACTATTCAATAAAAACTTCCTGCTTTTGATTCCTTGCCATAAGGCACTGGTTAGCATTTTCCTTCTTTTATTGAAAACATTATCAGTTACTTGACTAACCTCAACAGGGCGCTTTAGCGTTTGCAGCTTTCCATTGACATGCAAAGCCTTCAAGGCGGATATTGCAGAGACTATTCCTAGTGATCCATCAAACATCCCAGCATCAACAACAGTGTCCTAGTATCCATCATTAAAATGGATCATCACTATTGTCAAGGAAAGATTCAATTTTGTTGAAACAAATTGCAGGAATAAATGCCTCACCATGTGAGATCCAATCAATAAGGCTTCAGCATTTGCATTAGCACCATCAACTCGACCATGCACATTTCCCATTTGGTCCACCCACCTGGAAAGAACAAAAGCATCAGTCAAGTCCTCAGAAAAACTATTCAGAGTTGAACAAGTTAGATGGCTAACGTTCTCAAACCAGCATCCTCCATCCATTTACGAATAAGATTAATTGCCCTCATGGATGCAGGACTCAAGAATGTCCTCTCCAAATAACCACTAGCATCACTCACCTGTATATCCAACAACAACATTAACTTCCAAGAATAACAAACAATTATAGTCCACCAGCCACAGGATGAGTCATAAAAATAATATAATCAGTAAGTGTAGGTGATGAAATAAAACAATTTAGATTACATAATGTTGCATATTTCTTTCAATGTTATTCTTTTAAACTGGCAGAAATTGAAGTAATCTTCATTTTCCTGTAAGGATCTGGATCATTGAGGTCAAGAAAGAGAAATCCAAATGAAAAATGATCAAACAAAGCAAAGGTGAGTTTAGATTAGGTACCTTTCCAAGCTCATAAAGCCTTGCCACTGCCTCATCTCGCAGAATCTGTGAAAACAAATCATCTCTTTTTTCTAAATCTCCTGTCTCAATACCTAATCATTTCAAATACGTACTTAATCACTTCCATCAACAAGAACAAACAAAGCGAACTTGGGATTTCTTTTCTTTTCCCCTCTTTCCACATTAAATTAAGACAGCACACACAACAGGATTAAGATGGTGGCAACACAAGATACTAGGAAGAAGGAAATTACCCAATTACTATAATGTATTCCATTTGCTTCACACTTAGGGTGTGTTTAGGATCCTGTTTGCATTGATGCACACTGAAATTCACATATTTCTATGCACTAAATTAAGAAGCAAAAATTCTTATATTTTCCATTCAACGTGATTTTGTTGAGTTTCAATAATAATCCAAACATGCTTAGTTGCTGCTCTTGAATGCAAAGGGTATATATTTAGGGATGTATAGTAGGGGCTCTTGAATGGAGAGGGTGACAAACCTTATTTGGCTAAACGAATAAAAATGATTAATCCTACCTTCCTTATGCAGAACGGGGTAAAAAAAAAATTAATAAAGATTTCAACGACAAGGGAGAATAAAATATAAAAAGATAGATGTTAGTGTTTTGAAAAATGTTACTTGAAAAATAGTGGTTCAAAAATGCTCCAAGTTATCAAAAAAATAATTTCCATCTACACTTGATAGCATTAGAGTATAGTTTCTGGTTGTTTTCCCCCACAAAATACAAGTAATACTGTAAAGAGGAGTGACAGTGAAATAGAAATGTGGTAACCTCGTACATCAAAACTGGATAAGAAAGAAGAACACAACAGTGTCTCCCGCCGCTGTTCTCATGACATCATGTTGATGCATGCGCATACGCAAAAGCCTTCCATGTATTTACTTCTCCACCCAATTCACCATTAATTATTTTGGCAACTGAATTAAACTCGTACACATTGATGATAAAAACTCAACACAATAATAATAATTTAATAAAAAAATAATAATGTAGTAGAAATTAAATTTCTCAGCTTGTAAGAATCAGCCGAGAGTATAAAATATAACAAAAATAGATAATTTAAACGTACAAAAGATAAATATTTTTCACATGAAATTTTTTTAATATAAGGATAAAAAACCTGAGAGTTGTGTAAATTAAAGAAAAATTTATTATGATTAACAAATGATATAAGAGAGCCTTCAAAGAAAGCATTAAATAGTACTTATCATTAGTCAAAGACTCAAAGTAAATCAAATAGAATTGCTTACAATTGAAAAATAAGAAGATGAAAACCCTCAAAAATAGACTTTTTTTTGGCAATCTAACCATTAAATACGAAATGTTACATTGTACAAACTTATTGTCCAAAAATTAGTTTGATCCAATGGTGAGTGAATTTCCAATTATAATTCAACAAAAGCTACCTAATGCGTAGAGAAACTGAGCAACAAAACTTTCTCTCTTCTCTTCTCTTTGTATTTTGTTGTTGTTTTTCTCTCAAAATGAGTCACAATCTAAATTTTGCTACTATTTTTTTTTCTCAAAATGAGTCACTCTCTATGTCCTAACCTAACCCATCTCCACTTGGTTAAGTGAGATATAATAGACTTACAAAATTTGGGTTTATATTCTCCACATAAGAAGGGAGCCATAATTCAACAAATTTCGCCCTCACAACTATGTGGAGGTAACCAGGGAACCGACAATCTCGCAACAAACTTCAAACTTCTCTCTTTGTAATGTCAAAGTCATCATATCAGCACCATTATCATCGGTGTGAATTTTGGTCAGTTCCAACAACTTAGCATCCAAAGCATCACATATCCAATGATACCTCACATCAATATGCTTAGACCATGAACGAAAAAGTGAATTCTTACCAAGATGAATAACACTTTGACTATCCACAAATAGTAAATTTTTATTCTAAATAAAACCAAGCTTTTTGCAAGAATTTCTTCACTGATAGAAACTCCTTTCATGTTTCAGTAATGGCAATTAATTTTGCCTCTATAGTAGACAAAGTTACACACCTTTGTAGTCTAGACTACCAAGTCACAACTCACCATACAAATTTAATCAAATGGTCTAAAGTGAATATCCTAAAATCAATGTCTCCAGCTATATCAAAGTTTGAGTACCCCACCAAAGTAGGCTTATCACCACCAAAACAAAGCCTCATATTTGTAATACCATGAAGATAACTCAAAATCCATTTCACAACATTCAAATGTTTTCTACCTGGGTTTGACAAAAATATACTAATTATACCAACAATATGTGTTATATCTGGTCATGTGCTCACCATTAGATACATCAAACTACCCATTACAGATGCATAAGGAACCCAATGCATATATAATTATTAGCTTCATTTGATAAACTTTGTTTATAACTCAACTTAAAATAAGTAGCAAGAGGAGTATTCACCTCTCTACAACACTCTTTTAATATATTGTTCCTCTGATAGCTAAAGCTTCTTCTCCTTTTTATCACACATAATTCTTATACCAAGAATTTGTTTAATAGCTCCCATGTCCTTCATGAAAAATGACTCACCCAATTGCTCCTTCAACTTATCAATTTTGGAAATATTTTTCCCAATAATAAGTATTCATCAACATACAGTAATAAAATAATGAAGTCATTGTCAAAATTTTTTTTAACAAAAACACAATGATCAGAAGTAGCCTTCTTGTAGCCTTGCTCACACATAACAAACTCAAACTTTTTATACCATTGTCTTAGGGCTTACTTCAAACCATATAGGCTTTTTCTCAGCTTGCACACATAGTCTTCCTTACCTTCAAAAAGAAAACCATCAGGTTGCTTCATTTAGATCTTTTCCTCTAAATCACTATGAAAGAAAGTAGTCTTCACATCCATTTGCTTTACCTCCAAACAAAGAGTAGCAGTCATATTCAACACAAATCTAATAGATGTCATTTTCACTATAAGCGAGAAGATCTCATTAAAATCAACACCTTTACTTTGACTAAAGTCTTTCACCACTAATATGGATTTATACCTCGGAGATGTAGAGTTACTCTCATGTTTCACTCTATAGATCCACATGTTATCCAATGCCCTCTTATTCTTAGGCAACTTCACTAAATCAAAAGTGTGATTATCATGCAAGGCTTTCATCTCATCCTTCATAGTATCCAACAACTTTTGTTTGTCTTTGTTCTCCATGGCCTCTCTAAAGCAGTCAGGTTCTCCCTCATCTCTCAAGATCACATACTCATTAGAAGAGTACTTTATAGACAATTGTCTCTACCTAGTAGACCTCCTGAGTTGGGTTAGTGATGGCTCAAGTGCATCACCAAGACTCTCATCTTGTGATATCCTTGTTCCTCTTCATCAACATCATCAATAAGAACATCTACCTCATCTACATATTATTGTTCACCATTCTGAACATAAATATCCAGATTATGAATAGGCTATGAACTAGATTAACATCAACCATACCACTATCTCCCTTGGGTGTAGACTTCTACACCTTATTAATGTCTTCAATGGTTTGGTCTTCAATGAATTTCATATCATGGCCTATAACAAGCTTATTCTCAAAAGGATCATAGAATTTGTAACCAAATTCATCTTCAGCATAGCCAATGAAGATACATTGCCTAGTTTTTGCATCCAACTTGGATCGCTCATCCTTTGAAACATGCACAAATGCCTTCCAACTAAAAACTCTCAAGTGAGCATACTTAACATTCTTGACAATCCAAAATTTATTTGGTACCTCACTATTCAAAGCAATAGTAAGACTAAGGTTGATAATATGCATCATTGTGTATAGTGTTTCACCCCAAAAATGCTTGGGTAACTTAGCTTCATAGAACATACATCTCACTCTCTCAATTAATGTATTGTTCATCATCTCCGCTAAACCATTTAGTTGAGGAGTTTTAGGAGGAGTTTTCTCATATGCAATAACAGGTTGCCTATAGTAGACATCAAACAATCCACAATACTCACCATTATTGTTAATACAAATGCATTGCAACTTCTTGTTGGACTGCCTCTTAACTAAGGCATGAAATTCTTTAAACTTCTCCAACACTTGGTGTTTTGTCTTCAAAGAATATACCCATAGTTTTCGAGAACAATCATCAATAAAGGTAACAAAATAAAGTGCATTCCCAAAATATTTTACCCTCAAAGGATCATAAACATTTGAATGCACCAATTCAAGTAGCTTAGATTTCTTAGAAGAGGGATGCTTCTTGAAGGAAACTCTAGTATGCTTACCAACCATGCAATAAGAACATTTCTCTAACTATTCATTCTTCAATTCTTGAAGCACAACCTTTTTGACTAAACAATTTAGCCCCTTCTCATTGTTATGATCAAGCCTTTAATGCCACAAAGATGCCTCCATATACACGACATTCACATTGTCTTTAGCAACCAAAGCTTTTGTCTAATAAAGCTTATAATTTCTCTCCCGTTTGGCCACAATCATGTTACTTTTGATGAGTTTCCACTTTTCAAAACCAAAGTAAACATCATAACCACCATCGCCAAACACCTACACAGAAATCAAATAAAACAAACATTTGGAGCATGCTTAACTCCTCTAAGCAACAACTACATCCCAATGTTGGTTTACAAGCAAACATCACCAACACCAATCACCTTAAACATGCCATCATTACAAATCTTCGATACTCCAAAATCACTTGGAGTATAAGATGTGAGGGACTCCTTCTTGACTGTAACATGCAATGTAGCACCATTATTTATTATCCACATGCTTTCATAAGATTAATTGTATCAAGCTCATGGAGAATAATAAAATCACCACTAGTAGAAATAGTAAAAATATCACAAATTTATATATGCTTGTTTAATTGCTTCCTCGTGAAATAAGCTAGTGGCATTAGAGTCTTCACAAAATAAAAAGTTGTGTCAAAAGAAACGCAACATAAAACTTTCTGCCAATATTTTAAAAATTGATTAAGGTATTAAATTAGTAGGTATAAGTTAAGTTGATGAGTTATTAATTAAATCTTATAATTTGATCTTTACTATATTTTTTTTAAAAATATTTATATTATATATTTTTTTTTTCTTCTATAAATTTGAATAAAATTCATATCATCCATTAAAGAAGTCCCAAAAATTTATAGTTAATATTAATATAATACTAATAAAGCAATTAAAAAATTGATTAAACCACATAAATTAATATATAATTAAACATAATTTTAAATTAAAAACATATAAATAAATTATTTAGGTCAATTATATAACAATAGAATATGCTGGCCTAATGGTGAGTAAGATGTTAAATAATCACATTAGTTTCCAGTTTCATCTTATCCAAAAATAATTAAAGATATAGTATAAAGATTATTTAAATTAAGAAAAGTATCGATTTGTGGCATTGGTTGAGTAGTTGTGTGAAGGTTTTAATCCTTCAAAGGATTCAAGATCAAACATATGATTGGGATGGATTATACAACCGATCGAACATAAAACTCAGACCGGTTATGCAATGAGTTCCCAGTTTGATCTTAACTTGCGAATGATGAAAAGCTTGGGCCATCTCTTTAGAATGAGTTTGAATGCAAACTCTGGGAAACTCCAAGTGGTGAGCTATGTATATCTAAGGCCAAGGCAAGCAAAAGCACCTTCATCTCCACAATACTAGGAGAGCATGGTCACATTAAACTTCACCCACCGCTTCCTCAACTTAGCTTTCCTAATAACTTCACTCATCACAGCTCTAGACATAATTTAAAAATAAATAAAAAAAATAGTACCATATTTAAACTACTCTTGCGTCTGCATGCCTGTTACTCATTCTATTCAACATTACCTGAACCACAACTCTATTCAACATATGTACTTACAAATTCATTGCAACTTCTTAATGGTTACTTCAAGTTACAAGCCCACTTCTGCTTAGCTAACTTCTTCATCACCAGTAACTATTTTAGCCTTACAATAATTGATCGGCCAAATGCTTAATATTTTAAGCTGTAAAATACTTTCTATTGATGCGTATACAGAGATGTATAATGATTGCAATAATCAATCTCAGATTTTTTAATTAATTATAAAAGAAAATATTTTACTAATGAAGTAGGAATGGACAGGAGTGAAACCAATCCAATAATCTAATGATTCCGAATTAAATCGAAAGAAACATTCTAGTTTAGCTCGAGCTATCAGATTGATTCAAGTAGAAAATTACAAATCTAATCAAGATTTTGATTTTTAAAAATTGAATCAAACCGATTCGCTCAATTAAATAAATATATTATTAATTTTTAATTTTTATTATTAGGTTTGGTTTGAGATGTAAAGTATAAAATTTTAGTATATAAGATAAATTCATTCAAATATATTTTAAGTAGAGTAATTTATAATATTGATAATCAAATTTATAATATTAAATATTTTATTAGTTATATTTAACGGCATAACAGTATATTTTAATAATTGTCTAACATAATTTTTATTTTTATTATCATTTTAATAATAACAAATCCAATAATTTGATTTAAACTAAATTAAATATGACCTGATTGATTAATTTAGGGACTCGAAAGAAAAAAAAAAATCTCAAATTCAATCCAATTCCACGAGTATGCATGGTGCATTTGACTCGGATTTATTGATATGACATTAATACATGAATCATAAACAAGCGACGACAAATCAAAGAAGCAAGACCAGCTGGTCTTGCAGCATATGTTAATGTAATCTTGGAGACCCACCATGGTCCTTGTCCTTTTGCTTATCCAAAAACAGAGGATTACTTTATTCCAGATAAATCGAGAGTCGGCGTACATAGAGCAAAAATAAACATAAATTTCATTCACCAATCATCACAATACAATAAAGGGTACAAAGTTGTGTTATCTCAGAAACAATATACGCAATAAAATAGAAAGAAAGAAAGAGGGCCAGAAGAGAGCATATGCCCGGTGTGATTGGAACACAAGGGTCTTCGTCCCACGTACGAGGTCGGACCCAAGAATGATTTGGTATGTGCAGAAATGGTATACATGAGAAGAAAAAGAGTGTAAAGCAAAGGAACATTTGACATATATAATATAGATATAGTAGATATATAATGTAAGAGTGAGGAATGAATGTTGTGAAGCAATGAAGTTTGGTCCTAGATGCCAGCGCGGCACTCGGGTGGGGTGACAGGGTACCTTGACCTATCCTTACAATAGTCGTAGATGACATGGTTCACACGAACCCACCTGTACCTTCTGGCTTCAACGGCGTTAAGAGCTTGATATGCAGCCCCTTCCCACCAGTTTCTTGGGTTGGAGGCACAGTTTGCAGGTCCAGGCACAGCACAACCTTCAATGTCAAAGTCCTTGTAGTAAGCATAGAAGGGTGCTTTGCTCCAATCTATTTTCTCCAAACCACCCCTTGTTGCCCAATTATCTGCTTCCCACAATGTCGAATACACTCCCATTGCTTGCATCTTTGGGTACGGAATCCCCCTCGCCTCGTTGTTCTTGTACACTCTGATTGGAACTTCATCCACGTAGAATCTGCATGTGTGTCACACACTTTAATTCTCTTGTTCATTTTCTAATATAAATAAATAAATATATTACTTACACAATATGGTGATGGTTCCAGAGAATTGAATAGGTGTGGAAGTCAGCGGCAGGGTCAAACCACAGGTTGACCCTCTGTTCTCGATCACCCTTTCCGTGAGCGTAGATGTTTGTTTGAACTGTGTAAGGTTCACCAGTTCGGTTCCCCAAGAACTCGAAATCAAGCTCGTCGCGAACATAGTTCGTGTCAGAGTTCAACTGCCACAAACAAACCAAACCAACGTATATTAATATTAGTTGTTCCAGTTTCGCAAACAAACATAAAGGGCAACATATAAAGTAGGAAAAAAAATGATGTTACATAAAATGCAGTGACTGTGCCAGCAGAGTCTCCGGGGACGAGTTTGATCTTCATGCTAACACGACCAAACATGTACTTGACCTTGGAGGCAAACCCACATCCTGTAAAACAAGTATTATCAATTATATATAGTGTATAACAAATGATATGATAGTTAGATTTGGACATGTTATGTTACCAGAGGTTTGGTCAAGTCTGAGTTGGATTGCCCTGCCTCGATCAAGTTGCGTGATATGGGACTGAGACCAGGTGATACGAAAGTCTTGAAGAAAAGTGGCTGGTCGACCCCAAACACAAAGAGCGGATAGGAGAGCCCAAAGAAAAAGAAGAGGGGCATTTCTAAAGTGGTAAAAGATGGCCATTGTGTGTGTGTGTGTTGTGAAATGGAAGGTTGAGGGAGTGTCTTATTTATATTATTGAGATTGGAGAGTGGCATTCAAATGTGTCAAAAGAGGGCTTAGCTTTCCATACAGCTAATGCCTGATGCCTAATGCCTAATGCCTAATGCCTAATGCCTAATGCCTTGCTTCCCATCATTAGGGCCTACCCAACACTTTGTTTTCTTCTTTCGCGCCTTTAATCCTCTGCTACCTAAAATCACTTTCTCATCCCACCGTGTGTCTATGTGTCATAATAAATTCAATCAAAATCAACCACATTAATGTCTGGATGCCACCCATTGCTAAACGCATTCAATCATTTTCCTTTCAACCTTCTTCGGATTTAAGCTTTTCAAATTTTCACCCCTAAATGCATCATGTACTTAATTTTACTATTTTAGTATGTTATGCTATTTGCTTTGCTATCAAGAATATAAAATTGTAAGAAGATGTGGACTTTATCCTTCATGGTTGCACCCCAAACATCTTGTTGCTAGAATAGTGTTTAGCATTTGATATATTTGATAATTCTCTTTTATGAATTAACTCGCATCATGTAGGTCAAGTCAGTTGCATATATTTTAGTCAATTATGAATATGACAAAAACTTGAATATTATTAGTCTAAAAATTAACACTACTAAAACTACTCAAATTTATAAATTTATAAGGCTACTACAAAATTTCTCATTAACTAAACACTAGTATTGTTTCTATACCTCTCTAAATTAAATTTGGTTGTACACGGTTAAAAAAAATCTTTAATTTTTCCATAAAGATTATGATATGTGTGTCAGTTTTGAATATTAAATTAATTTTTATTTTTTTAAAATTAATTTTTTTATAATTATATTATTGATACAAAATATTAACTATCTTTGTTAATAATTTTTTCTTGTCTAAAAATCAAATTTTCTATCTTTACCAGAGTCTTTTCTTATAATCATAATTTTTTCATGCACAACACTCAAATTTAATAAGATCAAATTCAATTATTCTTAAAACAATAACTTGTTGGTTATTTAAATTAATTTATTATATTTTATGTATAATCTCAAAAAAAATAATTCTTATGTTTTAGGTTGCACCTTAACTGACGATGTATGCATTTCTTAAAATCCTAAATTATTATTATTTTTTTTAAATTCTCTTAATCCGTTTTTTCATTTTACTTAAATTTAAGATACATATGAAATAAACAAGTTACTTACTAGTTCCTTGTATTTTTATATTAAGATACCTCTAGACTCTAGTAAATCACCTTAAAAGCATGAAAGGATATAATATATTTATGGAAGTGAAAATAATAAATATTAAGAGCTTTTAGAAAATGTTAGTTGATAGCATATATTAATTTTCTTTTAATTTTTACAGAAGTGTAAAACCTTAGAACATATTAAGAAATATATCTGTCGACTATTTATGATCGACTTTAATTTGCAATCAATCCTCTTAACAACGAAGAAAGGTCACGAGTATAGTTTTTATTTATTTTTATTAGTTCATTTATTTTCGTTACTGCTATCCCTTGGGGCCTTGCTCTTGAAAATTTAACCAAATTAATAACGCGTTTAATTAGGATATTTTTGGAGGATTTTGAGGGGAGTTGTATTTTAAAACATTATTTTAATATAAAAAAAGTCCTTAAATTTTAAAAGAATTTGAAAGAATGTGATAATTTTTAATATTTTTTAAAAGACTTTTAAAATATGAATTTTAATTAAGATTTTATAATTCGAATTTTAATGGATTTTAACGAATTTTGATGAATTTATATAATAAGATTTTAAATTTTTTTATAGATTTTAGAGGGAATATGAATTTGTAAAATACATTTAATACTACAAGAATTAATAATAAAAAAATATAACATACATAATAAAAAAATAAAATAACACAATTCTTTCTATCTTATGAAAAATAATTATTTATATATTTTAATAAATAATTAATTTTAATATTCTTCTAACTAATATTTGTCTACATATTTAAAATTATACTAGTCCTTCATACATATATGTTCATAGTAGCATTGAAGATGAAAATTCATCCACTGATTCAATTAAAAATTTATTAGAATGATATTCTTAAGGTGGTGAAGGTTAGTAGGATGGTTAGTAATTATCTTGTTGATAAATTATACATCAATATTGATAGATAAAAGTGTAACTAGAAAATATTAATAGATAAAAAAGATAAAAGAAAAAATAAAGAGAGAAAGAATAACAAATAAATGAGAGACATAAGAAAAAAAAAAGAGAAAAAGAGATAGAGAAGACATGAGAAGAGAGAGAGGAGAAAAAGAAGAAAGAAAAAAAAAAGATTAGATAGGGAAGAGAAGGAGAGAAGAGAAACAAAGAGAAAAAAGAAGATGAGAGAGAGAGGAAAAAGAGAAAAAAAATAAGGTGAGGAGCAAAAACTAAAGAGAAATAAATGAGAAAAAAAAAAGTCATAAAATTTCAAAAATTTTGGTAAGATTGTTGAATGAGTGAATTATATGCAAATTTTATTAAAAAAGTCTCACAATCCATCCTTCAAAACAATTCATTGAAATATCTATATTTTTTAATACTAACAAACTTTTTTAGCAAATTTTTTTTTAATTAAATATCACCAAATTTTAACACATTTCTAAAACAATTCTGATTGTTTTAATTAAATATTACTAAATTTTTATTTACTTTTAAAAAAATTCAAATTGTCATATTTAAATGCGACATGACTTTTATATTAAAAAAAATTTTAATTGAACATTACAAAAAATTTTATTAAAAAATATTTTAAAATTCTTTAAAATCTCAATCTAATACACTTCCTTAAAAGTTTTAAAAGTACCTATTCTAATGAAAAGTTTTAAAAGTAAGATTATATTTATAATCTGTTTTAAAAATAAATAATCAAAATTTATTTTGATAATGACTAAATACAAAGTCACTTACACATATAATATTATAAAATTACAAAAAATGTGCTTGCTTCTTTTTAAATAGAAAAATTTGCATTGACATTTTTAAAACTAAACAAGTTAATTTTGTTCCTTTATCGATTTTCTTCTACTTAAAATCCTCAAATTAATTTCTGTCTAAATATTTGGATGTTTATGATATAAAATTGGGATATGAAATATAAAAAGGTTTAGAAGTAATAAATGTAGTGAAAACTAAATAAAATTCAAAGGACTTTATAAGATGCGAGTAAGATTAGAAGATGGGAAGTTTTTAGCTTTCTTTTTAATTTTGGGTAAAATTTGATGTTCTAGTTAATGAATTTTGAAAAAAAAAAAAATAATGAATACAATTTATAAATATTTGTAGTATAAATGAAAATTTGAGGATTTTACATAAAATAAAATCAACGAGATTATCAAAATTATTAAATTTTAAAATAGAGAAACTTAAATAATTAAAGAAGTTAATTAACAAATTATCCAAACTAAAAGAATAGAAAACACAGTTAATCCAACAATATTATGAAGGGGAAATGAGTAAAAGAAGTTAAACATCAGTGTAAAAAATACTCTTTTGTCTTTCAATTCTCCTTATCCAACAGCACCGCTTTTTCCCTTCAGCACTCTTCAGATATTTATTGTGGGTATACATCCTACATTATACCATTTCTCATACTTCGGGGTAGGGATGGCAAGAGGACTGGTTGGGTACGGATTTCATGATATTCGTTCGCGTTTTTGTGAGTCAAATTCATTCCCGTATTCATATTGTACCTGTCGGGTATACGATTTTCATCCTCATCTCTGTCCCCGTTGAGTATCGGATATACCTGACCCGTACCCTACCTGTCAAATTTTTATTTTTTGTAAAAAAAAATTATATTTTTAAATTATTTTTTTTATTATATTATAATTATAATTAGGTTATTTCTTTATCTCATATTATAATAAATAATCACACATAAAAAAATATTAAAATTCTTTAATATAATTAAATTGAAAGTGAGTATTAAATTAAAAATGAGAACGGGTCGAGTACGGATACAGGTACAGGGCGGGTAAGTACATACTCGTACACGTACCCGTACCTGATTTAATATATCGGGTTTTACCCGTACCCGTACCCAGTCAAACCGGGTATTTCCCGTCAAAGTCAAGATAGGTTCAGATATTACCTGCGGGTATGGATATATTTGTCATCCCTACTTCCAGGTATGCTTTATTACTATTATGGACATAAATCGGTCAAATTATGTCAAGCTTGAATAGATTCTTATTTAATTTGATTAAAATTTAATAAATTGAATTAAGTTGAGTTTGTGTAATTTATTATGAAACTTAATTCAACTTAATTCGATAATAAATAATTTGAATTGGGTTGGATTAATCGAATTAACATAATTAGATTTATTTATTTTTTAAAAAAATTAAATACTTTATAATAAATGTAAATCATTTAATACCTTACTGCAAATATAATGTTATCAATATATAAAACATACAATGATACAAATTAAATTTCAAAATAAATTTATTTATTTTTTATATTATTATCAACTCAAACAATCAATATTAATTAATATAAAATAAAATTTAAAACGAATAGTATTATTATAATGTAATTGTACATTTGTACCTGGCTTTCTATTCTCTTTCTTCGATGTCATATCTTCACTTCCTTCTCTAGACTAATTGTCGAGCAACATTAGGAGAGATGTACCTGCAAAATGAACTTTGACACTCAAGTAATTCACCCAGTGTAATAAATATAAATATATTGTGAACAGTAATGTTATCTCAACATATGATACTATTTTATACTAATTGTATTCTGTCTGGATTCTTATATGCCTTAGTCAAATATTATCAATTAAGTAATACGTTTATAATCCGCTTATTTATCATAATTAGGCTTAATTGCCCTAATTACCCTTATCTACCATAAGCAACTATTTGTTGTGCTTAGCGGCCTCCAAGGATGTTGAATAGTTATCTCCTAGGTGTTGAAGAGTGTGTCGAAGTCCAAGGACATCAAA